GCTACACATTGCACATCATTAGCAAGTAGCTGTGTCACCAATTAAATTGTATCTCACAAATTGTATGAAACTGACTTCATGTCATGGAGTTTGACTTCTTATTTGCAACATCTTGCATACATATATATATGTATATATACATTTATGTATATATATATATATATATATATATATACACAGCACTGGCCAAAAGTTTGGACACACCTTCTCATTCAATGCGTTTTCTTTATTTTCATGACTATTTACATTGTAGATTCTCACTGAAGGCATCAAAACTATGAATGAACACATGTGGAGTTATGTACTTAACAAAAAAAGGTGAAATAACTGAAAACATGTTTTATATTCTAGTTTCTTCAAAATAGCCACCCTTTGCTCTGATTACTGCTTTGCACACTCTTGGCATTCTCTCCATGAGCTTCAAGAGGTAGTCACCTGAAATGGTTTTCCAACAGTCTTGAAGGAGTTCCCAGAGGTGTTTAGCACTTGTTGGCCCCTTTGCCTTCACTCTGCGGTCCAGCTCACCCCAAACCATCTCGATTGGGTTCAGGTCCAGTGACTGTGGAGGCCAGGTCATCTGCCGCAGCACTCCATCACTCTCCTTCTTGGTCAAATAGCCCTTACACAGCCTGGAGGTGTGTTTGGGGTCATTGTCCTGTTGAAAAATAAATGATCGTCCAACTAAACGCAAACCGGATGGGATGGCATGTCGCTGCAGGATGCTGTGGTAGCCATGCTGGTTCAGTGTGCCTTCAATTTTGAATAAATCCCCAACAGTGTCACCAGCAAAACACCCCCACACCATCACACCTCCTCCTCCATGCTTCACAGTGGGAACCAGGCATGTGGAATCCATCCGTTCACCTTTTCTGCGTCTAACAAAGACACGGCGGTTGGAACCAAAGATCTCAAATTTGGACTCATCAGACCAAAGCACAGATTTCCACTGGTCTAATGTCCATTCCTTGTGTTTCTTGGCCCAAACAAATCTCTTCTGCTTGTTGCCTCTCCTTAGCAGTGGTTTCCTAGCAGCTATTTGACCATGAAGGCCTGATTGGCGCAGTCTCCTCTTAACAGTTGTTCTAGAGATGGGTCTGCTGCTAGAACTCTGTGTGGCATTCATCTGGTCTCTGATCTGAGCTGCTGTTAACTTGCCATTTCTGAGGCTGGTGACTCGGATGAACTTATCCTCAGAAGCAGAGGTGACTCTTGGTCTTCCTTTCCTGGGTCGGTCCTCATGTGTGCCAGTTTCGTTGTAGCGCTTGATGGTTTTTGCGACTCCACTTGGGGACACATTTAAAGTTTTTGCAATTTTCCGGACTGACTGACCTTCATTTCTTAAAGTAATGATGGCCACTCGTTTTTCTTTAGTTAGCTGATTGGCTCTTGCCGTAATATGAATTTTAACAGTTGTCCAATAGGGCTGTCGGCTGTGTATTAACCTGACTTCTGCACAACACAACTGATGGTCCCAACCCCATTGATAAAGCAAGAAATTCCACTAATTAACCCTGATAAGGCACACCTGTGAAGTGGAAACCATTTCAGGTGACTACCTCTTGAAGCTCATGGAGAGAATGCCAAGAGTGTGCAAAGCAGTAATCAGAGCAAAGGGTGGCTATTTTGAAGAAACTAGAATATAAAACATGTTTTCAGTTATTTCACCTTTTTTTGTTAAGTACATAACTCCACATGTGTTCATTCATAGTTTTGATGCCTTCAGTGAGAATCTACAATGTAAATAGTCATGAAAATAAAGTGAAACTTTTGGCCTGTACTGTGTATATATATATATGTATATATATATAGATAGATAGATAGATATACAGATATATATATATGTATATATATATATATTTATGTGTGTGTACAGTGTATACACACACACACACACACACACACACATATATATATATATATATATATATATATATATATATATACATACATATATATATTAGAATAATGGATTTGTTACTTCTGTTTTCTCTGTGTCAAACCAGTTTGTTAGCACAGCTTAAATTCACATGACTTACCATGACATTACAAACACGTCTGAAAAGCCTCATTAACTATAAGACTCATCCTTGATTAGAGCCAGCTTTAGGCCAATGCAATAATTGCCACCCCCTAAATAATTACAGCGGAGAGTTCTTTACCGAGGTAAGTAACGGACTCTAATCCTGTAAAGTAGCTAATTAAATGGGGGGTAGTGGCTAATGCTACTTTACACCATGCTTACGGTATAAAATGAGACACATGCATGGTTTGAGGTGTTGGGTCACGGTGGCATGTTATTAGAACGTCTGTAGATTAAAGAGAAAAAAGTGACACGCTAGAAATTGACAGAAAAGAGTCAACAGTAATTTAAACCAGGAGAGAAAAAATGTATATCCAGGAGGAAGACAAGTTCGAATCCACACATGGAGGGACAGAGGGTATGTGTGTTATAAGCAATAATAAGGCCAAGGACCAAAACGGCTGGGACCCCAGAAAAAATTCTAAATTTGAAAACTAATTTCCCATTATATTTTACCATATTTAACATGCAAGTACAGTGTTAGAGGATGTCAGTTTGGTTCATTTTGCTTTTGAAAGGCCAACAGATATTAATTGGTAAGTGATTAATTTAAAAAAAAAAAAGAAAAAAGAAAAAAAAAAAAGACATAAAATACCAGAGGCTTTTCCTTTTAGCCCAGTGCTTCTTTTTGAATCTTGTGTAATGTAAATGTGAGGTATATTTTATTTTCTGTTGGCTTTGCTGACAGACAGCTGGCTAGCTGTGTTAATATGTGGAAACATGTCCACTGCCCTCCAGTCTCCACTGGGTTCTTGGCCACTCTGCACTGTGCACCACTTGGTTTGGGAGGGAGCTAGCTAGCGTTAGCTAGCAGCCACTCATTCAGCGATTAGCTACAGCTGGTAACACCGTCCCAATGGCAGAATGCCTTGCAGTGGAAACAGTCTCCTCGGTGAGTAAGCAGTTTCATTTTGAAATGTAAAACCCATTTAGCATTGTTTACTATGTTAGCACCAGTAGTCATGCTGACATTGCTAACAGTGGTAACATACTCAACAATGCAAAGGGGATTTAATGGTTCAAAACTGAGCCATTTACTTATTGGGTTGAGCCAGGCGGAGACGGAAGGGAGGGCACGTTTCCTAGCAGTAATGGCTCAATGAGCGGCATTGTAAATGCTAGCTAGCTCCCCCCAGACTTTGGTGGTGCGCAGTGCAGTAAACTGACAAGTGCCACAATTATGATAACCTATAGACTGACATGTGTAAGCTGTCCGTTTAACAGTTAACCATTGACATTCCTAGTTAGAGTACATTATATGAATATACAATAGATGAAAGCCGTTATTGTCTAAATTACATATGCAGTACAACATAAATAACTGACATTTTAAAACTCATATTCCTCATACTGAGGGGCAGCAGTATCTAACTCCATAGGGACTTGGCTTGGGAACCAGAGGGATGCTGGCCCACGTCCCTGTACAGACCAAGTATGGAGCATGGACAGGTAGCTGGAGACATGCCAATTTGCCTCCTGGGCACTGCCGAGGCACCTTTGAATGAGGCACTGAACCCCCAACTGCTCGGGGCACCTATCCAAAGCAAACCCCTCACACTTACCTCTCAATTGCATGTAAAGGTCCTGTTTTTAAATGTGTGTGTATTTCAGGCCTGTGTGCACATGACAACAGAGTGAAAAAAATCGACTTTCCCCTTGGAGTTTTTATAAAGTGTATATTCTTCTTTTTCTACATTCTTAAATGCCTATTTTCCGATACACTTGAAGGTAACAAAATAGAAACAGTACAGTGTTTGACATTGATTGTACCTACTTACAGCAGTCGACTCGGCAACAGCTTTTACTGGAGTACAGCAACACCACATGGACAAACCACACACAGAACTGCAGTATGCTTTAATACTAAACTAATGGTAGTCATTTGTTTAACTTAATTATGATAAGGATTACATTTCCATCTGTAGAGCATGGTTGCCTGTCATAGCATAGCCGTTTTTTGTTTGTTTGTTTTCAATTCAATTCAATTCAATTTTTTTTTTTTTTATCAGTATATGGGTGGGGATATTTTGAGCATATTTGAAAACTGGGGGGATGTCCCCACCTCCAAATATATAATATAAATACTGCCTTGAGTGAAACACAGAATCTCCCACAAATCACCAAACACAAGCAAATAGCACTACTCAGCCTGCCAACTGATAAGAGCTGTAGCTGGGTGGGCAAACACTTGAGCTCGAACCACAGGACCTGTTAGAGCTGCTACCATTCGCTCCTCTCTTCTATGCTCTCTGTTCCTAGATCAGCACTACAACGGCTTTTGCCTCTTCCACGACACCAACGCCAGAGAGACAAGCAAAACCTGGAGCTGACATAAAATGAAAGCTCAGCATGCACAAAAGCCATGTTAATCCTATTGAATTCCTCAGCGTGATCGACAGCGCCGAGTCCACTTATTAATTCAGGATCCTTTCTGCGATCGCTCTACATAGCAGATGCAGTGAATGTGTGAGGTGTATGTACAGTGCATAGAACTCGTTTGCATGCACACTGCCCTTTAGTATTGATCCAGCTGTCTATATGTGTGCACGTGTATGGGTGGTTGCAAATGTATGGCCTTTAGCAGGACTCTGTGTGTAGCATACAGCAACACAACACTCCAGTGTCCTGCAACAGTCGACAGGATCATTAATAGTTTCTCTTTCAACGATGGAAAACCTTTATTTTTTTTCCCAAGCAAGTCCTCTTGGGGATATGACTGAAGTGCAGTGGTGGATCTGTAAACATGCAGTAAAAAGTAGGACTTCTACAGTAGCTGCAGTATGTACATTTTCTGATGAACAAAGGTTTTGAAGAGAAGATTAGCTGGGGGAATGGATTCTGCACAATGATGCAACTGGCAGAAAGGAGAAAAACAAAGCTCACTGTCTGCCTGCCTATCTGCCTATTTGTGTAGACTTACCTTTCATACCGAATTTGGAGCGCCGGCCGTATTTGTTGATGAGAACAAAAAGGACGAGGAGGAGGACGCAAGCGAAACCCGCCAAACCCACGGCGATGGAAACCTGAGAGAAATGAAATGCTGTGTCAGACTGTGTTCACATCATAATCCTCTCCAGATTTCTGATCACCTTAAATACTGCAAATCACAGTTTAATCCACTAGATTGTGACTACTGCTTTCTCACAGATTACAGCAGTCTGGAGAAAAGTTCAACACCTGTCTCGGCTGAGACGTATTCCAGTTGACAGAAAGTAATTTGAATATGATCCTCATCTACAGGCAGACTCACTCTCGGTGCAGTTTTAAAGCCACTGAGAGATACTTAAAGTCACAAGCCTCACTCATCATCATCATCATCATCATCATCATTACAACCAGTTATTTCTGACATTTATGTTTGACTAATTTGGATAAGTAAAGTTTAATTACTGTAAATAATGAAAATATAGACAGCTGCTTTTTTTCCAGTTTACATAGACCAGTTTGCTTATCATCACCAATATGCTATAATGTTCTCATCTTTAATGCACTGTCAAATAATCCAATTAATACTTGTTTTTTTTATCAAATCAAAAAGCAAATACATGAACAAATTAAGACTTAAACTGAGCCGTCATAATTAATTTGTTTTACTTGCTTTTCACACTGTGACAAGTTAAAATGTCTGCAAGGAAAATGGTCCATTGGCACAGCAGGCCTGTCAAGCTTTGGATTTCTTCATACATTAAAGTGGTGTGCATGGGGCTGGATTAAGAGAAATACCTTCCAACACCAAAAACACCAGAGTAAAAAGTGTAAGGAATTTATTTAACATTTAACAGTGTCTTTATAAGTTCCAATGTAAGCTGCAATCTTTAGCATGCCCTGCTAACTAGATTACTACCCACAGTAGTAGTTGGCCATTATCAGTGTTATTAATTATACCTGTGCTTTTTGCAACCCAATCATCAAAATAAATGCTGGCACTGCACATTTCTGCAAACCACAGATTTGTCACATTTGTACGTAACAATGCAGCATGTTGAAACTTTACATTATAACAACAACAATGGTTAACTTGTGGTTATGTTTATCCATAAAAACCAATTGGTTATGGTCAAGCAGCAACCTCCAGGGCTGAAAAATGGAGCCAACATAGAAGTGCCAAAAACTGCAGTTCCTTGATTGGCCACTTGAGGCTGGCTACAAAAAGCCAGTCAATTCTCATAGACACCCATTTATGTCAACTGGACGGGGGGTGATTTTTTTTTATAACTCAGCTGTTAACATTTTATCAAGGCTTAAAGTTATGCATAATTAAGGGTGGGCTGCTTTAAGTGACAGGCTGTCTGCTGGTAGCGTCCTTGGGTTCTCAGTCCAGTCTCTGCTCCAGCCTCTCACTCACTACTGTTGTTTGAAATGCAGGACATGAGGCTTCAAAACAGTAGTCAACAAAACAATGAGTGACATCAGAGTAGCTACATCCATTGTTTCTACAGTCTGTGGGTATAGTCAGGAGAAGATCAGGTTTTGGCTTAAAGTACCTGGAAGCCTGTCTCTAAAAACACCACAATGTGTTGCAAAAAAACACCCCACACAGGTTTGGTTGCACAAACACCGCTGGAGACAACGCAATGTCTCAAATGGGCTTGTGTTTTTGTTGGTCTTGGACCAACCTGGTCAAAATACATGAAGTGACCACGCCTCTTAACACCACCTTACATAGTGGTGGCATGTAATGTGTTAATATTATGTGGGGGCACCACAGGATAATGCCAGTGGAAAGTCAATTAGGATCCTTCGTCGTGTTGGACATGCAAATTTCCTGGTTCAATGACGTCATGCATTTGGGGGTGGTTAATGTTATGACCCCATAGGTAGCATGAAGAGCGAGCCACCACCGTGTAATTTAAGACGTAATGTGCCACCACCACATATTGTGGTACTAAGAGATTGTGTTCATATCATGTATTTATGTGATATTTCATGGTCTACAGCTTGACCACCATCCCCTTGTAGTCACATCTTCCACTTTCCCTTCTGCCTCGACATGACAAAGGCAGTTCATATACAGGCATTCTTAGAACCCATCAGCTGTATTTGGCATCTGACTTCCGGCAGATGGCGATACAGCCTCTGGGGGCAGACCCCTGATTTTTTGGCATTCCGGTTTGATTTGGGTGGAGGAGGCGAATTTCCGTTTCCAACTTCCATTTATATGTAAGTAAATATGCAGAACCACTGCGATGGATTCAGAGTTTGCAGTGACGCCAATTATGTTCCACCAAGTTAGTTCACCACACAGACCGTTTAACCTGGCAACAACTGAAGCCGGCTCAAACGTGATTGGTCAATATCATGTGGACTACAAACAACCTACAACTGGAAACCAGGGCTCTTCCGCTCTTCTTCCGAAGGCAAGATCTCCGGGGTTTGCCTACAGACTCTACATTCACTGAATGGAGAGTCTGTATATGGAGACTAACATACAGGTAATCAGAACTACATATTTTCTGAGACACTGATATGATAACATGACACATACATGTAACATGTCAGAGGTTTGCAGAAATATACTATGGCAACATTTTCTCCTAGCAACTGGGCTGCTTTTCCTGGGGAAATGTAAAAATGTCTACGATCTAAAAAGCTCATTAACCATGGTAGTGTTAGCATCTCGTTCGATCTACTGCACTTCAGTGGAATAACTCACCAGCGCTGGTTTAAAAAAACTATACAGAATCCCCGACATTACATAACATTTAAGCAGCACACACTGCATTTTTACCATCATCAACATCGTTAATAGCCGAGCATACAACACTGAAAAATGACTGTTACATTGTTTTGTGTATTGTAGTCTTTGTGCCTCAAAGCTGCATGTCAACAGTAAAAACCCCTACAAGGGTCCTTTGACAAAAAAAAAAAAAAAAAAGAAAACACAAAAAAGATTTGTGTTGAAACATAGAGCAGCTCTCTGTTGAGACCAGGGGCAACATCTTTAGCAGCTGTTTCATCAACATCATTATGCAGAAAACTTACCCCAAACGTATCTTCATCTGGTGGGCCTGACTCTCCCTCTGATGGCGTCGGAGTAGCTGCAACACAAAAACACAAAACACACATCAGTGGCTGAGAAGAAACCTTTAATGGCTGTGCTTTACTCCCACACTTATTTACAGTAAATATGTAGTAGACTGACTTTCACACTTTGTGTGGTTCTTTATTGCAGTGTATTCTTATGCACAGTGGATGCACAGGAATAAGCAGCTTCTTTTCAGTCCATGGTTTAATCCTCTGTGTGAACCTGTTTATGCACCTATTATCACATTAAATAAGTGTGTAAGTAACACTTACATGGGTTAATGCACAGCCTAACAGGCTAGAATAAGACGACCCAATGTGCTCTCTAGTGTATATAATTGAGAGCATATTTTCAGTATCTCCACAAAGCCAAATGGCTTTATAAATGCTTTGTGATAGATCTAATTGCTAGTTGAAAACATCTTCTTTGCTCTCCTCATTTGTATGTCTTTCATTTCATTTAAACTCTTGAAAATAAGAGCACTTGCCCCTCATGTTTTCTGGAGTATTGAATATATGTTAAATCTCTGGACGCAGACTGAAACTGTCCTCCCTTTAGGAACTGGATTGATGTAAACAGGGAGAACCTTGCCACTGCTCTGCACAATGAAAGCTTGAGACAATGTTAGAAAATGAAGAATGCATTTGTGTATGTAGAGGCTGGTAAAAGGCTTTCAGTTAGAAGTGTGCTCAGCCTTATTAAATGCACACCAAAGTCTGACACCTGTCACAAGGTTCCTGACAAAGCCTGAAGTCTGCTGTGCCAATTCAATCCCTAGAAAAAATGTTGACATTGAATGTTTCTCCAGACCACGGATGTGATATATTTGCATTCAGGATATTATGTAGCAGATACATTGAAACTTAACGCCCCCCCGACACCCCAATTTAGTGCCTTAAAGCCACTGGGAACACTGCAAAGACTAAATCACAACAGTTCTGTAGTATGCTGGTCTTGAATAGTGGTCTGCAGCTTGGCAGGTGTCTCGCCCAGGTGACGCGCAATTCATCATCCCCTCAATCTCCTGATGATAAAGTCAGCTCATATATTACGTAACTTTACAAATGTTGATATAATACATAGAAAATGCACAAATGCAGTGACATACAATAGCAACATTTTCTTCTGCCAACTGGGCTGGTTATTCAGAGTTTTAACCAGACCCAAGCTTCTTATGGTAATGACAGAAAAGACGTGAATTTTTTCTAGCACAAATGCATGCTTGTGCTTGTACATAGAAAAGGACACAGAATAATTAAAACAAGCTGCTTTAGAATTATACATGATTATACAGGCAGAAAACAGAAAAGAAGCTCATACAGCCAAGAGCACCAAATGTCAAATTAGGTGAAATTAAATCAGCTGGAAAACTGCACCACACCAACTCAAACTTGACACCTTCATTTAAAAAAATCTGACCCAAGTTCTCAGACTTGACTGGATGCTGGACTCAAGTCATGTCGCGGAACCCTAGTACTGTAGTGATATTAATGTCTCAAAATGATCCTGAAATTAATCTCTTGGTGTTAAATTGCTACATGACATGCCTCTACAAATGAGAGTTTTGGCAAACAGCAGAGGTCTTGGGAGGGGAAGGAGAAGAGGACAGAGACAGAGCCATGAAACGAAATGAACTGGTGTCAGGGAAACTCCAGTCTGAGGCCTCCAGCCAGGACATCAGAGAGTAATTGTGGGCAAATTAATGGCCACATGGTAGACTGGCTGCCACTGGCTCAGACACACACAGTACACTAAAGTGCATTGCTCAGTGTGTGAGTGTGTGTGCCCTGACTCTGTCCCTCCTTCCCTGCCCACATCCCTCTCTCCTCTCCTCCCCCTGCCCTCCTCTCTCCTCAGCAGCGTTAGTATCAGTCAGCCTGTCAGTCTCCCTTCCACAGCTCAACTCCCTCACACACCGCTGCTATAATGTTTCACACTCTCATCACCTAAACACCTCTCCCTCACCTGCCTCACTCCCAGAAGCTGTGCGAGCGTGCGTGCATGTGTGGCGGCACAAAGTCGTTGCTGCCTAATGCAGCTCGCCACACAGTCAGCGGCGTCCATCCGTCTCCATCCCAGGCCATGCTGCAGCTTTATAATCCATGGCTGATTAGAAAGAATGGCCTCATATGGAGATGGAAGAAGACTCTGATGAAGGTCAGAGATCAGACCGGCCCACTTAGTTTAAGCCATCAACAGTGAGGCTGCCACAACAGCCTGGGGCCAAACCACACATCACACGCAGGAGATTTACGATTCAGTGCGAGAGACGGCCAAAGCATCGTTCCAGCAATATGACTGCACTTACCGCTTCACAAACATTCACACATTACCAGCTAACGGGGTGGGAAACTAGCTTGTTTACATCGCGGCTGGTTAGTTAAGGGTTGGAGAGGAAGCGTAATGCCCGCTGAGTTGCTGTATACAACTCCCTTTAAAGAGAATGACTAAAACCTGGGGTGCCCTTAAAGTCAAACGGCTGTTGCATGTCAAACTCAGTCTGTCTCTTCACATGTTGAGACAGTGTGCATGGAGTTGATTACCAGAGTTTAAAGGGTGATTCCTCTTTTAAACCTTTACAAAACCAAAAACAATCTAAAGTTTAAGGAGCTCTTTGCAAAATTCAGGGCAAATGGACACGGTTCTTAACATGGAGATGCCTGAACAATAGCAGCTAACAGTGCTCACTTCTGGTAAACACTCAACAGTGTTAACCAAGGGGGAACAGGAGGGTGAGCGCTACGCCTTCACAATGACGCCATCCAGTTATCAGCAGTAACCAACATATGAACGCAATGTCAAGGGTCAGCAAAGAGCTAACTTGTCTCTTTCTCTTTATTAGATTTACTGAATTTTCACTCTACTTAATCCTGGGCACAGGAAGGTTGCTGCTGTAGTACTCCTTAATGACAAGAGCTGGAATAACACAGTCTGTAAATGGCCATTTTGCCATTGTTGCAAGGGATTTCTACTGCAGGGGCATAGCCATCAGGATGGATATATATGGCTGCTAATGATGTAGCGCAAGACGCAGACCTATGATTTGCCCAGGCCAAGTGAGTGTCCAACATCAGTGTTGTTGTAGTTGTTGTTGCAAAATAAGTTATCTTGAAGCATTCAAGCTTAGCTAATACTATTTGCTTAATAGCTACAGCCAATAAAATCTGGCAAAGTTGATAGTTGCATGCTACAAAGAGAAGTCTGATTTTGTCTACCACCCATTGCTTAAAAAAATAAGAATTTTGAGTGGTAAATCTGCCCCCGTTATCAACAGGTGAAACAGTAAGTAAGGGGAGCAGGACTTAGTGAACCAGCAGAAAGAACCAGCAGAGGTAGACTGTGGCTATACAGGTTACCTTACTGTGAGAGTGTATGGAAACGTACAAGGGTAAAGCAGGGCATCACTGAAGCATCAAATCCCCCATAAAAACGGCAAAGAAGTGTCTGGTGAATTTAGGAAACCACAAGCCACTGAGCTGAATGCTGTCCTCCTTTAGAGACCTCAAACAACCTGAAAAGGGCAGGTTTTTGGACTCTGATGTTGGCAGTTCAAATCTTGAGACTGTCTGGGGAGATCAGAGTCACCTACCAGATCACTAGCTTGAGATGCCTTGAGCAAGGCATCTGAATGAATATAGCATTCAGTCCGAATGCTATGTTTTGCAAAGCCTTCATGGAGATTAATAATACTATCAGGGTCTAGAAATTGAGCAGCAGTGCTTAACAGCTTTTTATGAATTGCAACACAAAGTGAACAAATTTCTCCATGGTTACTATCTTAACAGTGATATTCCAATGATAAGTGATGTGTTTGCGTGTGCATACTGACACCAAACAAACAAGTAGTTGAAAAAAAAAATACAAATAATAATAAAAAATAATAGCAGGGTTGAATTTCAAAAGAGAAACACTCACCTAGTTCCTCTATGTCTGCAAAAGAGAAGACAGAGAAAGTCATGCTATGTCAATAAACTGACACATGGTATTAACCTTGGAATATTGACCATGGGGAGAAATTTGCCAGTCTTTGTGGGTTTATTCCCCCTCCCTGTGAACTCAGGATGAACTGCAAGTGAACAATCTACCTGACTGAACTGTGGATGAACCCTGGCTGTGATCCAGCCAGCAGGGATCAGCTCCACAACCTGCACCCTGTGAAGGGAGTTTTTAATAAAAACTAAAAGCTCCCAATAGTTCTTCCACCTGGGATGGAACCTATAATTCATACAACAGGTAGTTTAAACAAGAAATTCAACTAGTCGAAGACTTGTTCCAATCGTGAGGCTCATTCCCCAAAAAGTGGGCCATGTTAGCTCTTGTGGGAATCGGGGAGTTACTTGGCAGTATTTCTTCTTTTCTCCTGTGCTTTTATTTTCATTTAAACCCAGAAGAATGACGGCGATGTTTAGGCAGTAAAAATGTCTTAATAATCCTTGTATAAATGATGTTTTACCCATGAGTATAATCGCTATTGTGATTATGGGGACATCACCGCTGCAAGCTGCCAACAGTGCATCACTCATCAACCACAAGTGCAGTGACTAATAGCCACCAAGCAGAAACAACCCACTCACCTTCATCAATACCTGGGTCCATAAGGAAGTGACCATACACTGTCTTGGAGACTGTTCCCAGAGGGTTGCTGGCCTCCAGAGTGTAGTTCCCGTTGTTGATGTGTGTTGGGTTCTGGAAGGTCAGACAGCCTTCCAGATAGTCCTGGTAGAAGTCCATCTCAGTTCGAATGTAATCATTCTGGACAATCTCCTTTTGCTTGTAGAACCAACGCAGCTTGGGATGGGGGTAACCCCGAACTGTAAACTCAATGCAGGTATCGTGGCGCTGCTCAGGTTCAGCCAGCCTCAGGATGACTGGAGGAACTGCGGTGAAGAAGAAAAGAAACCGTGTCATTTAAATGATATAAACATTTTAGTCATACTGACACTCGATCCATAGCATCGAGAAAGCAGAATGAGCAGTTCCTGGATCACATAAAGTTATTTTCCCCTCTTGAAACCCTCATCAGTCTGTCTGATTTTTAGTTATAATGTAGCTTGAAGTATTACAAAGACCTTTAGAAGAAAGTTCTGCAACCCTTGGGCTGATGAAAACCTGCCCTACTTCTTTGAAGAACCTCAAAAGAAATGCTTCAGCAGACTAAACACAAAGCTGTTTTGATTTGTTCTGGGAAGCATGACATTTAGGAGGTAGGTTTCTAGCTTGGGAGTGGCAATGAGCCTTTTACTGTGTGTTACATATTGCAGCAGTGCATAGGACAGTAAGGAAAACAAACAGAGAGAGGGACTCGTTTTGCTTGAAATAGAAAGAGGAATCTCCTCTCTAAAAACAAGCACATAGCTTCTCTCTCCTGACGTTCAGCAACACACCTCTGGGTCCACAATGCCGCCAAGCTGAGAGGCAATTCATCACTTTAATACCATCAGATACATTTCATAAACAATTCATCCACTGATTTGTCTTTGCAATGAGTCACTCATGCAGCTACATCATCAAAAGGAAATATTTGGCAGATGGTATTACCTGGCAGTCTCTCTATGTGTCTGTTCTACATACTAGGCACCCCACCTCCCAACCCACACCCCACCCTACCCCCAAACCTATCCACCCACCTCCACCACTTACACATATACTCATTATACACCACTGTTTTGTCTTTTGCTGGGCCTCAATGAAAGCTGCAATTTCTATAGGCTTGTGTGAGCAATCCTGTTTACATTTGCTGTATCATGGTAGACTGTGTGTGTGTTTATGCTGTCATTCAGACAACACTGCAGCTGCCCCAGTGAATCTCCACCTGCGGTTTCATGCTATGTACTTGTACATGTTATCAGCCTACAATTTAATTAGAAATAGGGCCAGGGTTAGTTAAAGTGTTTGTTAATTAAAAATACCAAATATTTGATTCTCACAAGCACCACATAGGGGATTTGGATGGCCAGATTAACCTGTTTCAAGGACCCAGGGCAAAAGTTTTGTTTTTCAGCCCCTATTGCCTTCTCCATACCTATGATCCTTTGTGTATTGTGTATGTACCCTCTAAGCCTCCAAGTTCCCATTACTGTTAGAACAGTACACAAGGCAGACTGTATGGCAGCTCCATTGTTTGCCCAGATATCCAGTGAGTAATAGGACTTGGATTAGGTTTTCTGTGTGGGGAAAACACATTTACACCAACATGGCAAAATGCTCATGATGACAATGTTTTTTTTTTCTTTTATATTTTTTGCTTTTTTTCATGCTCTATTGAGAGACAGACATGGATATGACAAGGGAGAGAGAGGATGGAGGGGCCTGGGCCAGACTTGAACCCGTGCCGCTTCAGTACGGACTCAGCTTAATGGTACACGCTCTACGCAGGGAAATACCTGGGCGTCCCCCATAATACCAATATTCCCATGCTTATGTTTAGGAGGTGTGATGTTTACCATTTTTTCAATCTTTGTTTAGCATGTTATGCAGAACATGAAGTACAGCTGAGGCTGATGTAAATGCAGGTATTTGGTCCAAAATTTGAGATTGTTACAATTCATTTTGAGAAGGACATGAATGTCTGAAGCTAATTTCAAGGCACTACATCTAATATTTGTTGAGGCTTTTCACTTAGAACCTCATAGTGGCACTGTATGAAAAGTCAGGAGATCCCCAAAGTCAGTAGGATTTATCCTCAATGTCTTCGCAAAGTTTGGGGCCAACGCATCTGGAAGATGTTGAGATATTTTGGTGGATAAAAAATTTGACCTGCTGGCGGCACCAAAGGAAAGGTCAGTGAACCTTCAAAGTCATTAGGATTTATCCTCTGATGACCATGAATATCTGTTCAAAGTTTGATGACAATCCCTGTAATAGTTGTAGAGATATTTCAGTCTGGACCAAAGTGGTGAACGACCATCACTGTGATGCTTTTAGAATGGCTAAAAAGGTTGTCTCCAAGACAAGGCCAACATAAGGTTATAACACAGATTCTGTGATAGCTGATATTGTCCTTTTGCAGTGCAAAGTTGTAACCAATTTGCACTTACAAATAAGTTTGCACTTAATAACATACAACCTATTGACACTCATTGAAAATGGGCAGCTGCCCACTTGGACCATTTTGATCAGATGGTAATCCAGCTTGAGTGTTTTGTTTTGTTTGTTGTTTGTTTGTTTGGACAAACTTCTGGACTAAGGAATTTGAAATCTCTCTCAAGCTCCCTCTCGTTTCATTCTTAACACAACTATTTCTGTCATTTTGTGATATGAACAACCAAGCACAACACTATCAATGCCTTCCAGGACAGGCTGTCAGAAAATGTAAGCCGTGATCCCAATTTTTAAACGCCTTCTAGTGTGGCCGTTCAGAACAGGTAGAAACACTTCTGTACTTTGACGTAGTCAGACAACATGGTGTACAAACTAGTTCTTTTCAAGCATAGCCCATCATTACTAGTAGTGATAGACTGTGATTGATTAATATATGAACGATTGTCAGATAGACTGATAATAAAAGTAACTGCCCTGGTCATTATGATTGTCATTGACTGTCTACCAAAGGATTGCTTGTGTTTTCAAACCAAATAATCATCCGGTAAAAAAAAAAAAGATGAATAAAGTGTTTCTCGGTGTTTGAAAGCTGTCATTTCATAAATTGCTTTGGTGATATTGTTCCTGCTAGACAATAGTGACAATAAAGTCATTCAATTGCACTAAAGGCTAAGGCATGTGTGTGTGTGAACGTGCTGGTGTGGGGGTGTGTGCAGAGCTGTGATTTTGTGCGCAGGAAGAAAGAGACAAGATAGTGCAGAGAGAAAAGAAAGAGAGAGGAGGGAGGAAGATGGGCATGAAGTGAGGGCGGTGTATAGCTGTGCAGCCTAAAGAGAGAGAAAGAGAGAGGAAAAAAAACATGAAATTCTCGTTGATGGACAGTTAGCGACCGATCCATTTTCCCCTCAGCATGGCTGTCACCTCCATCTCAGTCAATACAATACAAGTCATTACTGTGCTCCATACTGGTCGGTAACAACATGGTGTCCTCGTGGCGCTCATATAGATGACAAGCTTTGATAACTACATGCCTTTGATCAGTGAGAACACTAAGTGCAAGCCTAGTTGAGCAATGTTATCTAGTGGTAACACTGGTGACATATATCAAATGCCATGTTCCAGCCAGATAGGACATCATGGCTGACGATGACAGGGGAGTTTAACTGGATAGATATTCCCTCTGGGGTAAACCACATAGTGATTGAGATTTTAACCTGTAAGAAGCAGCAAAGTGATATTATGTAGAGTCTCTGGAGGGATGGAATCACTTCATTCCCACATTAGTTACTTATATTAGAGGTGATGCTTTGCTCTAACTGTAGTGCTACTCAGGGAGCATAACAACTAACCTAAGCGTTAGTCAGTGCCTTGTTTTCCATAGAGAGCAACACCTGCCTATACAGTAGGACTAAAGGAAAAACACGGTAAGTTATGTGAGTCCACAATGCTGTAGAGCTGCCATTGTTGCAGACAGCAGCAGAACAATGGGTCTGCAGAATTTGCATTGTGGTTAATTACAGTTTCGCTAAAGTAGGGAACTCATCTTTGAATGCAGAGAATGTTACTTGACGGCTGGTAATTTCGCTGTCAATCAGATTACTCCCTAATCAGAGCAGCAGTTTAAGCTATTTTATGACATTTCCAGAGACAATAGGCTGCACAGGGGAGGAAATGTAATTACCATCGGAGCATGTGGTGAAAAATTAATAAGTTAATTTGCAGCACCAGCAGAGAGTGTCAACAGAAAAAAAAAAAATGCCTGGAGATGTACATCCATAGAGTGTCTGTCCATGAGGAGGAAGCCCTGAAGACTAGATGTTGCAAAGTCAATCTGTCATTCTAGCACGGTCCTTAGCAGCTCTGCTCGAGTAGGGAGTGTTTGAATTGGTGACAAATCTCCCCTGTCCTGTAGCGTGATGCATTGCAAACAGCCACAATAGATTGTGCTCTACAACAGCAAGCTTGCTACAAAGAGAAAAATGTCAGGCACCTTTGATAAATATTGGCTTTGAATACAGTCCGTCCCAAATCTGCCCAGGGGCAATCCACAGGGTGAACTTATGTAAGAGCTGACATGTATAGTGTAATTCGTGGTCTGGATATTAGAGGAACATTCCGATGGTTACCAAATCATTGCTTTATCATTGCTGAGGGTGTTTTTTTTTTTTTTTCCTTTTCTCTTCCCGCTCAGATCAAGGCTGAGTTTTCATGTGGGCTGGAGGGTATATTCTTGCTAATTGGCTACATCAATTTCATTTGGTTTGTAACTGTGTAACACCTCATTGCATTCTAAATGTACCTGCATAATTTGGCTGTTCTGCTTGATAAAGGTGATTTTTTTCACTGCTGTAAATTATTCTCTTAGACTGTCAGTGTCATTAATACAAGATATATTTCAGTCCCCAACACAAGTCCATCAAAGCTGCCATGAAACGCATCTCATGCAGAAGAAAACTAGTGGTCTTGCCTCCGAGCATTCGTACTGTACCAGCTGCATTCTAAAAAAAAGGATTTTATTTTCCTTTCTTACAGTATTAGTCTTTGCTGTCTGCCACATTTTGTCTAGCTAAACTAAAACATAACCATTTCTGTTGTGACCTACATGTTATATAACTTTGGGAACATGACAGAGAACCCAAATACATCAGCTAATAATATCTCCATATAATGTCTATTCACAGTTGATATAATAATCCTAATAGCATAATGCAACATGTTGTTATTGATTTAAGATAATTTAAGGTGATTCAACAAAACTGAGGCAACGCAGTCAATATCCTTCCTTTCTATTCATTGAGTTTGAGCTGTTCATCAAAACAGCTGCAAATCTGCACAGACAGCTCTGTCTCTTTCAAAATCTGTATATATACTTATGTGATTTGAAAAGAAAAACATTTTGTAGGAAATGTGATTACTCTCTGGATTACATGTAAGTACGGTTGGTTTATGGTTGACTGTACAAAGAACAGGACTTGGACACTGTAGACCACAATTTGAGTCCTACGTCCCATGTGTTGTTAAATTTAGGTTACAAAACCACTTGGCTAAACATGAATTAACTGATTTTTTTGGCCACTTGGAGGCAGCAGAAACAAGCATCACAGACAGACAAGCTGTACTAGGACCTTCTAAGTTGATGTAACATGCTAGCTGTTTGAAATCATGTTTCTGGCACCCTGACAAAAGTCCAAAATTTACTTTCCTTTAACCATAGCTTCTATCAACTCCTCAGAGAAGAATCTGACTTTTTACCTGCTAAATATTCCACTATGTTCACAAGTAAGTCACTCACTTCGTCACCCATTTAGTGCTGGGCAGGTAGTGTACAGTCCATTTATCAGACCTTTATCTGCCCGCTGCTTCTGGAAACAACACTGATGAGAGTGGTAGAATGAACCAAAACAGTGAAATTATTGAGCCAGGAAACCACCGGTGTTAGTTGTTCCCTATAGTCATTCAAAACCACAGCTGGCAGACCTGCTGTCTCTAAAGGAATACTTCACTGACCCAAATGACTATTTGTGTATCAAATATTCACCTGTTATGTATGCCTGTGGTGAACAAAAAAATAAAAATAAAAATCAAAAAAATGAGAGAATCCTTGATTAATAAGCGACTGTGTTTAACAACAGCAAAACTATATCAAAGCATTCTTATGATCAGTACTTCCCAAACAGACAGGACTTTTGAACAGGGGCCTGAACTGAAAGTGAAACGTCATCTATGCTCTCTTCAAAGCCAGACTACAAACAAAAACAGCAATTTTACCTTGGTGAACAAGGGAGCTGCTGCCTAGATTGGTATTTTTGTTTGTTATTGTGTGACTTTGGTGAATCTGAACTAAACCTTTAAACCACCAAAGGTAAGGCTGTAACACAAACAGGTTAGGTGATGGAGGCAGTGGTAGACCAGCAGCTCCTGTGTAACAGGAGTCAGGTAACATTATTGTTTTTGTCAATAGAGTCTGGCTTAGAAGAGAGATAAGTTTCACTTTCAGTCCCTGTTGGAAAGGGCTGACCGCAAGGTAATGTAATGTGTTTGGGAAGTGCTGAGCATATGACTGGATAAATGAGGCCTGGATCAAACACGCATGGATTGTGTCAGAATTTGCAAGCAAGCAGATGTTTTGATGTAGTTTTGCTGTTTTTAGACATGGCCCCCTTTTGCTTCAATTGATCAAGAATTTTCTCCATTTTTCGATTCTTCGCTCTCTGGAGGCATGCGAGAAAGGCAAAGTTTTATTTGAGAATTCAGCGTAACAGGGGTCAAGTAATTGAAATACAAACGGTCATCTGTGTGGTGAATTATTCCTTTAACCCACCAACGGCAGCTTGTCTTGGCTATAAATAAATAGTTACAGTAGCCGTGGGACCTTGATGTATGCCTCCCAAAATGATTGACAGGCAGAAGACTAACAATGAAGCTGTCAGCTGTGCAAATGTCACTTCATCACTCAAAGTATTTTTCAAATTGTGCTGTCTTTCGGTGCATGGTTTATTAATCATACCAGCCTTGCCGCTAAACCGTGGTTGTCCCTAGATTAGCTGATGGGTCTAATGTGGATAAGCCACTAGCTCAGTGGTCGGCTTAGATTTGATTCCAAACAATCACTACACCAGCAGTGTTCAGTGATTAGCACCTTCGGCCACAGAGCAGCATAATTTGACATTTTAAGCATTAGAGTCGTATTAAGAGCCTCTGTGAAGACTGATCAAATAAGATCTAATACCCGAGAAACGATTAATTATAAAGCTATTAATGGAGACATTACAAATGTTGTGGTAACGGGATGGATATTTCTTTAATTGCACGATTGATGAAGGTTGCTTGCCAGTACAGACACCCACACTAGATTTATCCATGTGGTAACCCTACTAACTGTGTAAGAGCATACAACATGACACCCTAGCACATTTAGCCAATTGGATGGCATGGATATAGAGAAGGCAATATTGGTCTGAAAGTCCACCATTTTAGTGGTTAATATTTGAATTTTCCTCCAACAGCATCCTGAGGTTGACATATTTGGCATTTAGCGACGTGCCTTGATAACTATGGTATGGATTTCTATGAAATTTTACACAGACATTCATGCTCCCATTAAACTGTAATACATTTTGATCTCTGATAATACAGATAAGGTCAAAATTCACATTTGTCCGGAACTTTGGTTTACTTGCGATAGTACTGACACTCCCATCAGCATCAGCTGCACTGTTTAATCAAGCTCATACAAAAACTGAGAACACTCAACTAAAAATGATGATATGGTAAACATTTTACTATCTTAACATTAGCATTAGCATTGTGAAAATGTTAACATGCTGGTGTTAGCTTCTAGTACCTTCTAGTAAAAAATGCTCATGGTCGTATAATGTGAAATTAAAAAAACTGATGCAATCAGATTAGACTGTAGTCCAAAGACTGTGTAAAAATAATGAATGTAGCCACCGTGACATCACCCACTGGTTTGTGGATCCCCGTTTTGAAGCCTTGAGTCTGGCATTTTAGTCATCGCCATCTTAGACAGCTTCAAGTGGTCATTAGAGGAATTGCAGTTTTTAGCACTTCAGCGTTGGCTTCAATTTTCAGCCCCAGATGTTTTCACTTGTCATTAACCCAGGTTTTAAATAAAACTTCATCAGTCAAACCATGGGTGTTACAATTCTAAACCTAAAACCAATATAAATCAACATTTGGTTCCACATTTTTCTTATGTCATTATTGTCCTGATGATATTATTCTACATTATGTTCAGGCCTTGGGCCATGCTACTGAGAATCAGAATCAGTTTCAGTGGCCTTTCAAGAAATTTGACTCTTGATTTTTTTCTTTGCCCTCAGCATACTTATGTTCCACCATTTACCTTGCTGATAATAAACCCACAGGCTATGCAAATTAGGAGATGAAAATAAGCATATGTTAACATACCTATCTTCACATAACACATGGGCTCTGCATCTTAAAGCGATACAGAATTTTATTAATTCCAATAAGTAATATTTACTTATTAATATACAAATTTATGCAACAAGGTACGCAAGGTAGGAGCAGGTCATTTATAGGGAGAACCTGTGGTGTACATTTCAAATGTGTGTCACTGGCCATGAATTACTGTGTAATGCACAGCCAGAGTTTCCAAAGATTTAACCATCACAGAGATCCAACTCACATTGTACATTGAGCTGGATGGAGGAGTTGGTCATCCCCACCACGTTCTCCGCAATGCAGGTCAGCTGGAAGTTGTTGTCATCTCGGCTGATGTTGAAAAGAGTCAGGTTGATAGAGTGGATGTTCGGCCAGTATACATTGGACTATGGAGAGAGAATGAGAGAGACAGACAGAGAAGAGAGAGGCATTAAGGCATGTGAAAGATATATAGCATATGCAATGTAATTACTAAATTAAAATAAAATTGAGTTATTGATTGATTAAATAATAGAGAATAAAGTGAAGGAGTACCCTCTACCAGTGGGACTTAATCAATACAGTGTTCTAGTCTGATTTTATAAATGGAGGCCTTAAACTGCAGCAATCATGTAAAGTGTAAATGTATATTTTAAATTTTGGCACTAATGTGACTGATTCACAGCTTTTCACCTTTAAGTAGCCAAAAACAATGCTTATGCTTCCCTCCTTGTCTTCAGTTGGCCAGGTTCCCCAACACCTCACTCATCCTGATGAGCTACAGTATCAGTCTACCCTTAAACATCAAGCCCGAGGCTGAGGTGACTTTCATCTGTAAAGTCACCTCGAGCATTAAAGACACAGATGACAAATACAGCCACACGGCATTTTCAGACACCGCTGTTCTCCTCTCCTTGCTGTTTATCTCTGCTGTTGTTATTGCTGTGACGTCCCTGGGGCCTGGGTTAGCTGGCTCACTGTGGGTTCAAGCCAGGACTCTCAGTCTCTCAAAACTAGCTCCTTTTGCACGGGGTAGATCATCATGGTAAGTAATGCTGCACATCTAATTTAAGAGGCACAGAGCAGGTTAATCCAAGGCCCTATTCTTCACATGGGAATAAGTGAGTAAATCTGACTTGACTGTTAATGATATGACACAAGCCTGGATTGTCAGTGCTTCAAAAGCATAGTTAAAATCTATCTGGAGCCATTGTCATGGCAACAAGTCAGGATTATGAGTTTTTAGGCTTATGTCCTTTAAATGAAGTCATTCTTAGATACAGTATGATATCATGTAATTGTGATTTAAGATGAGAACATGCACGCTATTTAGAAACAACTACAATCTGGTGGTGTATTTATCACAATAGTGTGAAAGCGAAATAATACACATGATGAAGTACACAATAAAATAAAAAATAAGTAAAATAACCAATCCAAATTCAGCCACCAGGTTGGCCATTAGTGGTGTGAAAACCTCACTAATAGTGTAAACGTCATCATTCATACTGTAACCAGATTCTCTTACAATACCGGCTGACTGCATTAATACTGAGAATGTGGAAAAAGTGAGAACATTGTGGAGAACCATACGCAACAAAACAACACCAATAACAATGCAGGAACACACATTAAGTAGAATCAATGTCCATGAGTCTACTCCCCCTGTGCATGAGCTTTCCCAGTAGGCCTACTGTACCTCATGTATGTGCAAAGACACGATCGGCACTCAGCCAATCACATGAGTGTTAATCTTGTCTTTGGCTCTACTCATGTTGCATTTATGTCAAAATGAGAGCATTATTTCATTCAAAATATGTTTATTCAAGGGTCACAAATCAATCCCCTATGTTAACAAAACTGGCTGGATGAGAAATGATCGATAAAAGAAGACATACAGTATAGAGACATAGTCATTAGTTTTCAGAATAAGTTTTTGGAAAGAAAACATACATCAAGCTTGTATAAAATACACTAGATTGTTAAAGATTAAACCAGTTGTTCCCAATGATTTTGACCCATGAAAAACACCTGGGGCCTTTTCATGTTTCTGATGTCTTTAAGTTCCAAACAGATGATTTCCCTCTAAACTTCTCAGATGGTTTCATTTAAATAACTTCAAAACCAAGAGAGGTCAAATTATCCAATATTTCACGAAAAAGCAGAGATCAGAGGATAAGTCAGAAATATGAACATGAACTTGTGAAGCAAACTTTTTTTTCCTACTTCCCTTTCCTATTAATCATCTCATCACCTCTATGATTTATCTTGTGACCCTTTGCAGTGGCCCAGTCCACTGGAGTAGATTACCCAACACAGTAGTTAAAACGTGTACCACCTCAACCACTGATGAGAGTAAAAGGCTGCTTACACATTGTTGCATCAGTATTAACTATCTAATGATGTCAAATAAAACAATAATTCAGTCATAGGGGCCATTAATCATGACTGTTCGCTGTCCTGGCTTCACAATGGTGGAAAGAACTCCATATTGATATCAGGACAGCAGAAACTCTCCACATCTTGTGTCACAGACTAAGATATCGCATCTTGGTCATTAAAATAAATAAATAAATAAAAAATTCTGTCACCAATTATCTCTAAATGCAGCACTTGAAGTAGATTAGCATATTTGACAAGGTTGATGTACTTACAAGATTCTTGCACTTTTCAAGGTTGAATCCACTTGCTCCTCTTCTCTTTTCTCTATATCCACTTACTATGGATAAAAGTATCCTAATCCTACAGGGAGTATTACAATAATACCGCTACTACTTCTTCTTCTTCTTAATATTTCTAGGGATACTGAATTTCAACCATCTTTGTAACATAACTAGAAATACCACCCTGCAGTTGCATGCCTTCATGCACCAATTAAGTTTCTCTTACACTTTACATCCATGTCTGTGAAAACATGGATGCTTCACACCCATTGTCCCCCCGGTAGCACAGAAGATCTATACAATCTGAACGGTTCCAAAGTGGGCATCCAAGATGAGTGTCACTAATTAAGTATCTGAACAATTATTTCTGCTTCTGTTCCTGCTGTGTCATACATAGCATACAAATTCTTGAGTTATGGTCAAAAATAATTTGTGAGGTCACACTGACCTTGACCTTTAAACTTTAACCATGAAAGTCTGATCAATTTATTCTTCAGTCCAAATGGACGTTTGTGACAAATTTAAAGAAATTCCCTTAAGGTGCTCAAGAGATAACGTGTTCATGAGAATGAGACAGATGCAACGTCACCCTGACCTTGACCTTTGACCACCAAAATTCAATCAGTTCATTGTTGAGTCCAAGTAAACGTTTGTACCAAATTTGAAAAAATTCCCTCAAAGTGTTCTTGAGATATCATGTTCACAAGAATGAGACAGATGTGGTCACATGGACTTGACCTTTGACCTATGCCTACCAAAATCTAATCAGTTCATCCTTGAGTCCAAGTGAATGTTGGTGCCAAATTCGAAGCAATTACCTCAAGACATTCTTGAGATATCATGCTCATGAGAATGAGGCAGACAAGGTCACAGTAACCTTGACCTTTGACTTATGACTACCAAAAACTAATGAGTTAATTGTTGAGTCCAAATGGAAATTTGTGCAAAGTTTGAAATTCCTTCAAGCTGTTCTTGAGATATTGCATTCACGAGAATGAGATGAATGCAACGTCACCCTGACCTTGACCTTTGACCACCAAAATTCAATCAGTTAATTTTGAGTCCAAGTGAACGTTTGTACCAAATTTGAAGAAATTCCCTCAAAGTGTTCTTGAGATATCATGTTCACAAGAATGAGACAGATGTGGTCACATGGACTTGACCTTTAACCCTTGACTACCAAAATCTGATCAGTTCATGCTCAAGTCAAAGTGAATGTTTGTGCCAAATTTAAAGAAATTCCCTCAAGGCGTTCTTGAGATATCATGCACAAAAGAGTGAGACAGACAAGGTCACAGTGACTTTGACCTTTGACCTATGACCACCGTTATCTAATCACTTCATTGTTGAGTCCAAGTGGACATTTGGGCCATATTTGAAAAAAATCTCTGACCGCATTCTTGAGATATCATGCTCACAAGAATGGGACGGGCAGACAGATGGACGGACTGGCGGACAACCTGAAAACATAATGCTGGCCATGGCTATCACCAGTGCGGAGACATAAAAATGTTGGTAGTATGTGTAAATGAACTATGGTCAACTTCAATCCTACCAGCATCCTGATCTCCCTGCCCATCTCTCAGCTTGGATTCGGGTTTGCGTTACCGCTAGGGCTTTTCTTTTACCTATCGATTGCACTTCTACATTTTCATATGCTTGCCACCATGGACACAAAGAGTATAGAAGCAGACTAGGAGAGAGGTCTGCCCCACCCAACCCCCACTACCTCTCTCCCACAATTAAGACCAAACTGTCAAACTAGGCAGCCCTGATCAACTCTAAGCCAAGATTGTGTCACTGTCGTGCCTATTTCTGGCCTAAAATGTCTTCAGAAACATATTTTAGTGCACTGTTTAGCTGTATTACAAGAATTTATGAACAGGAAGTGGGTGCCATACTGCTTCCTGTATTGTAAAAATAAAGGCTGAGAGTACTAAGATCAAATGATAAAACTAGTCAGTGCTGATCAAATATAAACCAAGATTCTGTTCCTGTGTTGCCTGTTTCTCTCCAAAGAGGTTTTCAGAAACATTTTTTTGTTCACTCTAACTATAATTCAAGATCATTTGTTACCAGCCGGCCGCCATATTGCTTCCTACGTCTATCTAGCTGTAGCGTGTATTGGTCCGATGCAGTACAGTGCACAGCCCTTTTCCTCTGTCTCCTCTGGTCGTGTGGCACCAATTTCAAAAGTATTTGTGTCTTTTTACTGCATAACAGCCTAGTTTTATGAAAAGAACATCTTTCCTGCTGTGAAATGCTTCTTTAGATTTTCTTTTAACACTGTTGTCCTGCTTCTTTCGCTTAAATGAAGGATCTGAGTATTTCTCCCACTATGGTGACAACAACACGTTAGCCTGGATGGAGGTAACATGTAATTCAAAAGAAGCAATGTGAGCCCTGTGAAGCGTGTCTTTCCATCACCAGTGTTTGACTTAGTGACATCAAATGACTCAAAGGGCGCTAATGGTCCATAAAAAGAAAAATATATGTTACATAACCAGTTTCAGTATTTTGGCATCATTTTCAATAATTGCCATTCTGACATTCTTTCTGTGTCATTTTGTGGCTGCAAAGCTATAAAAGCATCCTGATAACAGTGAATCTACAGCTGTGTGTGTGTGTGTGTGTGTGTGTGTGCGCGCCTTACCAGGTGTGTGTTGATGGAGTGCAGGCCGCTGACAGTCCAGTCCACTTCAGGCAGCGGTGATCCAGATCCATTGCAGCTCACCGTCACATTGTCGCCCTCCATCACCAACACACTGCTATGGCTCACACTGATCTCTGGTAAGTCTGAAAACACACACACACACACACACACACACACACACACACACACGTATATATGAATACACACACATACACACACACACACACACACACAGTGTATGCTCATGATAACACACACCTGTCACTGCCTGCGTCTACATATTTTCACATCAAATCAATTAATCACTTTTCATTAATGTAACACAATTAGTACAAAGGAGGCAACTTGACACATACACACACACATACACACACATTAGATGTCACAGGCATGAGTCACCACCAGGAGATAATACTGCAGAGTCTCCAGCCTCTGTCAGAATCAACGCACAGCTCCTCACATCAGATTCACCCTCTGAACTCTGTCACACCTCCTCCCCTTCCCGCCTCCACTCGTCTCCCTGCTCCTCTTCTCTTTTCTCTATTTCACCTTTAACCCTTTCCCTCCTTCTCCTGCTTTTCCTGTCTCTTTCCGTCAGCTCGTCTCCTCTCCACCCGACGCTCCCCCCCCCCCCCCCCCCCCCCCCCCCCCCCCCCCCCCCCCCCCCCCCCCCCCCACCCCCCACTATGCTGCCTCCCCTTCCTTTCTCTTTTCCTCTGTTTCTAAATGCACATCACAACCTCCCTCCTCCTCCTCCTCCTCCTCCTCCTGCTCTTACCACAGTTGTGGATGTACATGTTGTGCAGTCGGATCTTGGAGGCTCCGTTCCTGCAGTACAGCTGCTGTGTGTGGAGCCCAGCCTCTCCTCTCTGCTGCCACAGCTGGATCCAGCGAATGTCACAACCACATTCAAACACAACGCCGTCCAGGCGCCTGGAAACACAATGAAATAAAAACACAATCAACAATGACAATGTAACCACGGGGGGTGCAATGCAAAGCCGCTTTCTGTTTATGTCACAGAAATACCTGCAGCCATGTTGCGTGATTTATAGTTAAAAACTGAAGGTTGTCCAACGTGTCTGTGATCAACACTGAGAGCTGCTGACAAAACATGGGCCCTTATAGCTCATTGGCTATATTGCATAATTTAAAAAAAGGGGTTTTGCATGAAGTGGTAGAGGGTCTGGATGAAGAGAGAGTTGCTCTAAAGTGTCTGATGAAAAAAATTAGAAAGCTGTTGACAAAAATCTGAAAAGCTCTCTTGGCTGTTTTGCATTTGTGAGATGGTCCCACTGCTGTTGAGTTACCGAGATGCCAGGCTGCAGTATTAGATCATGAGGTAAAAATAACACCTGTGGAATATGAGTCAAGCTTGTTTCCGCACTGAGCAACAAATATGGTGAAAAGTTATTGAGGATGAATCTCACTAAATGTCTGAATATCGAATTTTAAACTATCCAGTGTACACTCTATGGTTTTAGGCTATTCGTTCACATTTTGGCAAACTGACATCATGGAAAGTCATGCTGCTATGGCTACAAGCAGTTCCTGTTTGCATTGTGTAATCAGTGGGATTTATGTGAAAAAAAATATCTGAGCCAAGATCTTTTTTTAAATAATGGCCATGAGAAAAAGTTGTGTTGCATGTGGTTAATTGCGTACCCCTTCACACACCTACCAACCACCAAACAACAACAACAAACACTTTCCACACTGGTCACCCCAGAAAACACAAATATTGGAATCAGTATAACAACAACAAGCTGCATTCAGTTCATATCCTCAGCAACATAAATATTACTATAGCAGTGAGACAGCAGTCTACAACTGAAGGCAGTATACCTCCTCAACAACAGCACCAGTAATATTAAAGGGTGGGATATGGGGTATTTAGACTGACAAAAAGGGGAGATTTCTTTAAAATCTTATCCAGTTGTCCAGGAAAAATACAAACTGAAGAGCTGTAAAACAACTTGGTTTTTTTTTCTAATTATTTTTCATGCAGCCCAATCAGAAGAAGAAAATGTTGGCATTGTACATTTCTGCAAACCAAACAACGAGTGGAGAGGATGGTGGATGACCTGAGGCCAAGACCGACTACTGTTTGAGACCATTGTAGCGACCTACTGCTGCATTTCCAACAGCAATTGTGCATTTTCTTTCAAATAAACACAAGAAATTTGTGCTCTAGATAAAGGATCAGTGCTCAGTGAATAACCTCCTAAGCCCTATGATAAGCTATTATGGCAACTCTTAACTATACAGACCAATGAGCAGTGATAACTAACACGTCTTTGGAGTCATCAGGTGGGAACCTCCTTTCACCAGTGTTTTGTCTTTTGTTGGTCCCACGACACCTCCAGGAAGCTAGACAGTGATCTCTGGTGTCCCAGAGACACTCCCCTAATGCCAGTTCTCACTGCTCCCCACACTGACCCAACAACCTCCTTTGCCTTACACTACACATGGCTTTTTCAGCCCAAACAACACTACCACCTTCAACAAACCCAGGCTCCGTTTATGCGAGCTCCAGGTAGCTACTGTGCCGATACAATATAATATAATAATAACCTATCAAAACATGATGTTTTCCCAACCACAACCATGTATTTCTGCCCCTAAGCATAACCACACATTAACCTCAGTGGTGTTGAAATGTGAGAAAAGTAAAGTTTTAACATATTTGCTACATAATAGCATACAAAACTCAGATAACTGCTGTTTGCAGAAATGTACATCTCCAACATTTATCCTGGCAACTGAATTTTCTCATGATAAAATGGCAGCCTACTGTTCAGCTGCGTGGCAAAATTTACTATTATGTGTGAACACAGCTGAGTACAAAAACAGAAACTATGCAGGCAGATAAACTGTGGCGTTCAACAGGTAAAGCATCACGTACATATATAGCCCTGAGGTCATAACCAATAATTCCTCTCTTACTCTTCAAACTATCAACATAACATCCCCATGGATGTATTAGACGTTTCCTTTTCCGCCTCTCCACAGTGGTGTGGTTTGGTTAGGTGGAGTGAAAACACAAAGTCAGTCCAATGACACTATCAGGCTGACTCCATGCATTAATAACCTCAGGTCACCACTGTAAAGATGGTCATACATGCTCTTGTAACCACTCGGACGTATTAAAACTGATAAAGTCAAGAGGATATGTTGGCGACCAGAGGGTCTGATGACTCTGTGTAGTTGGCAGTGTGTTTTTCCAGTTCAGAAATGGTGTACTTTTAAGAGGAATGGTTGTTTTACTGGCACATATGATGAAGAAAAACATCAGAATATCTGAGTGGAAAGCATTTTGTTTACTTATCTGCAGTTCTCTGTTTAAACTCCATTACTGGGGGAAAGAATTACATAGTCCTGGTAAGTTTCCATTTTAAAGTCGCACAGAAACTTGAGTGTGCTGCTTCCATCAAGCTGTGCACACACTTAACCCTCTCTATTAGCAACAGCAAGAGAGAAAGCAAGAGCAATCTCCAGCTGCACGAAGAGCAACATTAGAGACAACAATGTCTGGCTAATTAGCAACATTCTTCATGATGCCAACAATACAATACAATATCAATACAATTAACAGTGATGATGGAGTGACTGCTCATTCATAAGCTCACGTGACATCCACCGCTGATATATGACTATGCTATATCAGGTTTCAAAATATTTGGACTTGTTCAAATCAACGGATTAGACGAACAACAATGCTGGCCTGCAGCACGGCATTCAAATGTGAGAAGGTCAAAGGTCAAAGCAGTGTTCGGGCTATCAGTCTCAGGCTGTATTAGCGGCAGGCAGGTATCATTAGACTCCTCTGTGCATACATTTCACTCTCACAGCAGTGTGCAGCGTGAGAGTCCACATTATTCTACATCGTATGCCACCTCTGCATTTTGCATATGTCCAAATTGGAGGCTGTGATTGGCCAATTTTGTCAAGATGAATGCCTGTCCAAATGTCCTTGACAGAGGTCAATAAGATATTGCAGAAATCATGAATAATGCATGTACTACATCCACCATGCTATATAAAGTAATGAGAATAGATTTCCGCAGGTGGATCTCGCTTATTATCAGGTGCTCACTGGATCAGATACTGTAGTTAGAGCAGAGCCTTTTCATATTCACTATATGGCAGCGTACTGATTGAGCTAACAAGGAACACCATATCCATCCATCCTTTTCTCCTTGGTTCCAGAGACAGTATTAATGTTATTAATGATTATAATGAAACGTAAATAAACTTTACTTACTTACTTACTAAAATATATGTTACGATCTACAACAGAATGCATAAGAAATACTTTTTATAGTAAACTGCAACATGTCTGTGCTCATCAAGCTTGCTGTGTTTCCCATACATTGATTTTTTTGAGGCAGCTGCATCGCTGACTGCTACTTATTGATTGATGGGTAAAATTGTATTCCTTTGTAGAGCTGCGCTTTTCCTCTGTTTATCAGACTGCACATGAGAATAGAATTAGCTAGCTCATTTACCCCGCGGTCTCTCCGCCTCTCTACACCAGTGAAAGAGTATTTGCCATGACGAGAGTGGGCAGAAGCTCCAAGGATACACTCAGTGGCGGCTGTAGCGACTCAAATTCAGCCAGCACAAAACCCAGCTCCGGGACAACGCTGGGATTCACAGATGGCTGGGTCTAACCTGTGTAACAACAGCAACACAAAGTTTGCTGATCCAGTGGAGTGTGTGTGCTGGGTTGGCTGAATTGACCTATGGCTAAGCCCCGCCCTGAAACACAATGAGCCAATCAAAGTGCGTATAGCCATTCCCATACACTCGGACATTCTCTGCCTGGACGTACATTGAAATGCATTACAGAAAGTCAGTTTCGTTCGGTTTTATGAGCTTTTTCTGAGATTTGAAGTTTAAAAATGGTCAAACGGTGTGCATGGGGTGCATGCAACTCTGACACAAGGTATCCTGAGAGACTGGGCGACCAGGTGTATTTTTTTACACAGATCTCAACCGAGAAAAGTGTCTCCTTTGGATAAAGTTGTGTGGTAACGTTAGACCACAACATCAACTCAACGTGAATAAGATTAACAATGATGTCTACATCTGTTCTAAGGTAAGTCAACATTGTGTTTGAGGCAACATATTGTCACTTTGCTGGAAAGAAATATAAAGTTATCTTTAACATCTCTAGCTAACGTTAGCTAAAGTTAGCCTAACATTAGCACCTAGATGCGTTGTTCATCATGTCACCTTGTTTGCTGGCAGTTCATTAGCCTATTTTGTTCTAGTTTTGTACTTTGGTGATCGTACATCATTGTTAGCTGTTGTCCAAAGGGCTCTAGTTAAGCTAATGTTAACTTCTGGAGCTTAGCTTCATTAATGTATCTGTAATCGCAGAGATAACAAAGGTTGGCAAACGTTATGCTAACTGATCAGTGTTGGGAACGTTACTTTAAAAAAATAATTAGTTATAGTTACTACTTACTTTCCCCAAAAAGTAAGTGAGTTAGTAACTGAGTTACTGCACTATAAAAGTAACTAATTACCTGGAAAAACAAAAGCATAACTTTTTTTTATAAAATACTCATATGTCAAACTGCTTGGACACCCCCTTTAATGGAACTGTGTTCTGCTTTACCAGGGTTATTTTATTAGTCAGTATGTTTAGTTATCACTTAACACCCCCTGTTGGTGGATTTTTATAGCAGTCATTTAAAATCACATAGTGTGTGTCTCTAGCTGATGACATCATCAGTAGGCGACTGATCAGTTCTCCATGTCAGAGCCAGGGAAGAGCTCATGCCCTTTTTTATCGGACATCATTCTGGTGTTCGGGCTTTTGAAAGCATCATTGGTATGTAAAAATAAACCTTGGGTTTATCATTTATTCATTTATTTGTATATTTTTATAGATTTGAGATGTTTGTAAGGTTTATATAAAGATA